TCAGCCAGCTGCTGACCCTACTCCACAGCAGATGTTATCTCAGAAAGTTAAAGCCTCTGCCAGATAGGAAAGCTAGAGCTCAAAATTGGGATCACTTCCTCTACACAGTACAAGTACTCTTGAAATCACATTGTGATTTTCAGACTGTGCTATATTCATTTTGGATGGTTTTGAACTTGTTCCCTACATGATTTCTCTACCCCCTTTGGCCTTGAGTAATCCTTTGTCAACACCTGCTTCATTCATTGGGAAGCACTGCTAAAAATATCTGTTTTTATAAATATACAGTCATCTCTATTTTATCTGTTTTGCAAATTTAGGATTTCCCTAGAGGGGAGATGGCTGTGCTTGTGCTTGGAATGGATCTTTTTCCCAGGGAATTCTAAGAGTTCCTGACAAGGGCAATGACATTAACAGAGGAGGTCATCTCCTCCTTGTGCTGTGTCTGATTCCGAACCCCTTGAACCCCTGATCCTCTCTGCCTGCACTTACCGGATGCTGCCCATTCTGGGCCATCAACTGCCTTCTACGCCCCCTGGCTCCTGGTTGCAGGAGAGTGGGCGTCGGAGGGGGGTGAGGGGCAGGGCAGGATATTTATTTCCTGGGTTCCTTCCTTGGGGTGTTGCCATAGGCTGGTTCTTCACCCTACAGCCTTGGGGTCTCAAGTTCCTTTATTTTGGCCCTGAGGCCTGTGAGCAATCATGGGTAGCATGACAACGGGGCTCTGCCCCGTCCAGTCCCAATACTGGACTCTCTTGGTCTCTTGTTTTTCTCACCCTAGTGATGGACTTGCAAAGACTCCTTTTATTTAATCCCCCTCAAAATTCCCCTCAAAATCTGTTCCATGCCAGCAATGGACTGACAAGACTGCCCTTCTCCTTCCCCCTAAAACTCAGAAAGAGCAAGGACACACAAAATTCATTTTCTAAAGGATCTTTCCTCTTATTTCGATTCTGACCATTGCCCAGATCCTTAGAACTTTTCTGAACTAGGGGAACCACCTCCCACCTAGGTTTCTAATTTCCATTTTGTTCTTTTCTCCACATGGCATATACAATGCCCAGATAACGAACTTCCTGATGACCTCTGGAAAGTGATGGCTTTCCTGTGTACAGAACCCAGTGTGGCTACAGGACTAGAAAAACAGGCTAGTTTTCAATCTGAGGATTGGCCCTCAACATACCTTCCTTCTAGAACTTGGCTTTACTCAAAGGTCAAGTCAACTTCAGACTCAACTCTATTTCCTGAGACCCCCTCAGAAGTTTCTCCTGTTATTTCACTTAATTCTCACAACAAACACTCATGTGGCCACCACTGCTCACACTCTGGACATGATAAAATCCAGGCTCAGAAGTGATCTATCCTTTCCAAGGTGACAAAGAGAACACCTGAGAGACCTGGAATCTGACCCCAGAAGCCACCCCTGCCATGCGGGCTCTCACCACTCATTGTGGTGTCTACTTATGGGGGTTACCTTACCCCTCAACGCTCTCTTCAACAAAACTTAAAATAGCAGACTCTAAACTCTCCAAAGTCTACTGCCAGCAGGAACTTGTTGGCTGCGGACCTATGAGGAGGCCTAGGAAACAAGGGAGTTTGGCTCTGGGTGACAGGAGCGGCTTACAAGGCACTCTGCACCTTCACAGAAGGGCCAGGCTTCAGTTTGTGTCTGGAGGGGCCAGACCTCACAGGAGCTCTGGGAGCATGGGCTTCCACAGGCCCCCCGTCACGCTGACCCCCTGGGCCTTGGCGATCTGAGTTCAACTCGGTTTCTGGACTTTAGACCCAAGCGTGTGGGAACTCCTGGGGCCAACATGGGAATGAGAGACATTGTCGGGGAATGACCAAAGATTTCCTGCTGCCTGAAAAGAGGCCACAGAGGTACCCTGTGGCTCTGGGCACCATGTGAGAGGGAGGAGTATAGAGCCAGCTTGTTCACTGCTCTGTGCATTCAGGCCCACAAACCGTGTGGATGAGTGCGTGATAAAGGACCAGAGCCAGGTGTCCATCAGGGGGAATGGTCAATGGACTGGAGGGGGGGGGCCTCCAAAAACTTGGAGGAGGGGTGGTGGTGGGGGCTGGGGCTGCCATTCTTCCCCCATGGGTGTTTTCCATGGTACAGCATTGGTCCAGAGTCCCCAAACCCTAGGGTCCTGCTCATACCTTTGGAGCCTCGTGGGAGGCCTCTCCTCTCCTCTCCTCTGTTCCAAGGGCATGACCTTGCCATTGCCCTCAACCATCTCTGCCCCCCACCACCCAGCCCCGCTTCATTGTCTCCAAAATCACCGTTTGTCAAGTTCCTTTGCAGCGCACTCAAGCCCAGCTAGATCTCAGCAGAAAGGATCCCGATGAAGCTGGAATACACTCCAGGAGAAGATGGCTGAGCACTGCCCTGCTCTGCCTTCTGAGATGGGTGTTCTCATTCATAACAATTTACATATGTTTACAACACAATTTTGAATAATCCCATTTAGTCATTGAAATCACACTCCTGGTATTCTTCTCAGTTTATTCGGAAGGCGACCTGCTTACTGAGGCAGTAAAGTCAACAATGACAATGGTCCAACGACCACCTGACCGCCTCTGTGGATCCCCATGCCACTCTGGTCCTCAGCACCACGCCCCACGGTTGCCACAATGTGGTCACCTTTCCCACCACTGCATGCAGAGGTGGCCCCAACATTCCCATCATTCAGATTTGAGACCACTGAGCTAAAGACCACACGGCAACCAGGGAAACAAGAGGAACTGGGACCACCTGACCCTAGCCCCCGACTGCAACAGCTCTTCCTTGCTGCCCTAAGACCACAGCCTCGCCATCCCCCTCGCTGGATGAAGTGACTGGCGATTTAATCAGAGCTCTTTGCCCTGCCTCAGCGGTGACATCTGAACCTTAGCAGGGAATGGCTAGCGCTATCAAAAATGGTAGCATCCAAGTACCTGCCACTGCATGGATTGAAAGAGTTGGGACACTAGCAACAGGTTTCACCTACGAAACTGGAGTTGGAACACCCGTCCTCCAGGTTGGGTTTCTGAGATACCATTTCAGGCATGAGGACTAAGTGCGACCTGCCAACGCCCCATCAGGACATAACTCCTCCACCCATGAGCTCTGACCCCCTCTCCATCTGCAGACTCTCCAGGCTTCCAGGAGCCTTGGAGTGGCTGGAGCCTAGCCCTGAACCTGAATGCCTTCAAGCATGCCCCCAGGCAGCCCTTAGCAAAGGCTCCTTCTTAGGGGCACCACAGGGCCCACACCCCAAGCTCTGTAGTCATTCATTCTGCTTACTTTCCACTACTCCTGCAAAATAAACACACCCTCCCTCTTCAGCACAGGAGGCTGGAAGGGCATTTTTGTTAGTCCTCATCTGCAGTATTCCACTTGATAGGTAGCTATTTGTTTTTTTAGAAAAGCAAAATCTCTGCTTCCTTCTTTCAGGACTACTCAGTGTGGTAAACTGGACTACAGCGCCTTGTGGTTCCTCAGAGAGAGAAAGGGTCAGGGAAGTTGCCTGCTAACCTATTTCTGAGTTCCTCGAAAAACAGATGAGCCATTTTCTCTTCTGTCATTTAGTGGGGAAGGACTCCCATAAATACATTCTTCCCCTAGAGACAGTGAGAAGTGACAGGCAGTTCACATCTCTCCTTGTCTGAAAGCACTTAGACATATACATATGGCCCACGCGGTGACAGGTCTGCAGGATTTTGCTCTTTTCCTGCACCTGGTGTGAACCCAAAGCCCCACTCCAGAATGTCAAAGGCAAGCAGAGATATAGAGTGAGTCCGGCCTGGAGCACTAGCTTAGCATAGCTATGTAATACACAGAGGAAGACGGAGATGAGTCATGCAGATACATAGTAAATAAATATATTTCATTCCCATCTCCCTGGCTTTTGCTTCCCTTCTCTCTCCTTCACTCCAACAGCCTTGACGTGGACAGCAGAGTGAGGGCACAGTGGGGCTGTGTGGGAAGAGCCTCAAGGCAATAAATTTTCAAAGCCCTGCTTACTGGGCTTTTGCTTTCTTAGGAGAAACTTGTAGATTCTTAAGGGTTTCTAATTCAACCCCTTGCATCTTACAGATGAGCAATCTGGGATCCAGAGACGATGTTGATGGCAAAGTCACTGATAGGGGGTGGGGGATTAAGGGGTACATAAGAGTTGTCCATTCAAGAACCTCCTCTGCTGCTGGAAGGAGCCAGACAAGCTCAGCTGCCGGGGAAGAGGATACTGGAATCAGGCCACATGCCCCAGCCAGAGCCCTGGTCAATGAGCCGAGCAGTGGACTGGACCTCCTTGATTTCTGCCTCCAGTTTTCAACAGCTGGGGCTCAGCCCAGCAGCAAAATGTCTGTTCTTGGCTCTGCAAGGCAGCAGTTGCCTCTGACATGACAGAGACTTTGGCCAAAGAGCTTGTCCCTTGTTTCTACTTCTCAGGGTGGCCGGCTGCCATTGGTGGGTGGGGAAATCAGCCCCAGGGCCTGTGGGGCTGCAGGTGCTGGGAGCAGGATCTTTCACCCTCTCCTGACCCAAAGGTAGCTCCTTGATTTGGTTATCAGACTGCTTCTTCCCTTCCCACTGCCTGCCCACACCCACCTGCCTACCAGCCCCATGGAGACAGCCTCCCTGATCCTCCAGCTCCTGGACCAACGCCGCCCTTCCTGGCTCCCCAGCCGTGTGCAGGGATGTCTTCCTCAGAGCCCCCAGAGCAGACAATGGCCACACCACTGCTTCTAGGCCTTCCCAGACATGCCAGAAGGAGACAGGCAGCCTTCCCGGGAGAGGCAAGTGGTACTGCAGATGTAACATTAGCAAAATTACTATGAAAAGCCCGACCCATATCCCTCTGCTTGGGAGGCAGAAAGCACCCAAAAAAGGCCCCGGGGTCTAGGTGTCCACCCAGGTGCCAGGCTTCCTTCCTCCTTCCTGGCAGCCTAGGCGCAGGCTCCTGCACCTCCGCCCCCACCCGGTTCCCATGGCAAAGGAAGGAGGACCCACTTACTGCTCGTGTTCATGGCGATGCCTTCGCACCGGGTCTTTCATTCAGTACGGAGGCCCCCGTGGCTTTTGAAATCTTCTGATCTTTTGACCTCACACATCACCTGGGGGGCGAAAAGGCAGTGCGGTCCCAACTGTGGATTCTCAGGTGCTCCCTCTCCCTTCGCTGTCCCCTTCAGTCTGGCAGGAGCCACTGGCCTTGAAGGCAAGGGGACGAACCGCGCAGGTGAGCGCGGGGAGGTGGCGAGGAGGACACGGGGTCTAAGTCCTGCAGCCCTCGACCGGCAGCCTGGGCAGAAGTCGGGCCAGCTGCGCCAGCTGGCGCGCACCCCGGCTATGCCAGCCCGGCGCCTCGCCAGCCCAAAGGGGGTGTGGACCCCGGGGAGGCAGGGCGGGGGCAGCGCGCGGGGCGCCGGGCTCCACTGGGCAGCGCTTCCCCGCCCGGCCTCTGCCGCCGCCGCCCGCCCCGGGACCCACCTCTAGGCCAGCGCTGGGAGCCAAAGGCCCCTGCCCGGGCCCCGGCGAGCGGTTCATGAATCCTGGCCCTCGGCTGGGGTCTCGAACGCCAAGGCGAGCAACGCGAAATGGGAGAGCTCGACATCCATGATGCGGGCTCGCGGGGCGCAGCGCGGGGGGCGCGGCCGCTCGCTGCTGCCACCTGCTGGAGGCGCAGGCGCGTGTCCAGGCCCCGCCCCGCCCGGCCAGGGCTTCTCTCTGGGTCCCGGGGTGCGGGCCTGGTGGGAGTGGGCCCTTTCGTCCGAGGGCCAACGGGAGAGAGCTTCAGCCCTTGTTTCCCTTCCCTCAGTAGTGGGGAATAAGCGCTAGCCAATGATGGGTAAGTAAACCTGGCCTTCCCCAAGTGTAGAAAGGGGCCGCTGGACCAAGTGGAAGAGACTTGAGGGGCTCCCCCAGACTGCTCTCTTATATCCCTGCCTTTCTCTTTATGCCCATTGTCCGGATTCATTTGTGACGGTCGTTTATCATCTCTTTCCCACTAGACTGTAAGCTTCATAAGGTGTGGGTGGAGGAAGATTTACTGAGGGTCCCCCAGTACCTAGAACAGTGCCTGACACATAGTTTTGACAGAATGCCCCAGGACTTTTCTGGATGGAATATTGGGCTGCACTCAGAGCAGGCACTCTAGGAACCCCATCTTGACACATACCCCATTTGAGACAAATGGCGGGTGTGGGGCCTGGTGAATCAGCCTCACTGGGTCACCTAGTTCTTGTGTGGTCAGCGAACTCTTGCCCAAAAGTATTGTTTTAATTAGTTCTTGTAGGTGTGTGCTTTAGAAACCTATTTTGGGATTTTGGGGTCATGTTCGATTCATCGGGGTGGAGTTTTTACATTCCCCAGATGACTTGCCCTGTCACCTTCTGAACCTAATTAATGGTCACTGAAGCATGACTTAAGTGTAGAAAAACAAGAGTGAGAAGACACAAACGCCTTGTCTATAGAATAACTCTGGTTAGAGTGTGTGTAGAATCAAAGAACTACGAACATTCACACTCCTGGCTACGGTCAGAAAAAAGCATGGTATTCATTCATTCTTTCAGTCAGTCATTTATTCATTCACTCAACAATCATTTATTGAGTGTCTACTTTGTGCTAAACTTGTATTGTCAGTTAAGGATACAGTTGACCAGCATAGACAAGGACTATACCCCTGGGAGCATAAATTTTATGGGGTAAAGTGGGGTTTGACAGTAATTAAGCAAAGCATTAATTTGGTAAACCCAATGGCTTAATTTATTAACTGGGACAGGTCTTCAGTCCCAGTTCTATCACTTGAGAAGGCAAGATACTCAGCCTCTATGATCCTCAGATTCCTCATCTATAAAATGGGCATAATATGGTCCCTGTCTCATGGATTGAGGTGTATATTGCAATATTCAGTGTAACACATGTGAATAAAGACTTGATGTATGCTAATTAGTAGTATCGCCCATTGCTTCCACCCAGCCTCAGAAACTGTCTTGTCATTTTCTAGTCTTTTCCATAGAGTGGTGCCATGAGAATAAGCCTCAGGGTGCTTGGTGACCAGCTCTTCTGGCCGAGGTTCTTTCTGATCATACCTCCAGTTGGGTGCTAATGAATTCAGCCTTTGGGGAAGACCACACTCAGAGTTCCAGTAGCTTCTATTGGGAAACTGTCTTATTTCCCAGACTTTATAATGATAGGAAGAAAAGGGTTAAAGAAGCTAAAAATGCTCTCCGAGTGAGGATGTCCACAACAATGCAGGCCTCCGGGAAAGAGCGGAGGAAGCTGGGGTGGGAGCATCAGTGGGCTGGCTGTGAAAGTCATCAGGCACGTAGGATCTTGGCTCTGTCCTTGCAAGAGACTAAGGTGAGAGCCACATTGCAGAAGGCACTTTGTTTGGAAGTTTGTTTTGAACTTGAAGATTCCAGAATGGAGATAAACAAGTCACACTTGGAAGCAGACTAATGCCTGGCTGCTGGAGAACCCGGTGGCAGGACTGTTGGGAGACACATTTTCCACTTCAAGGGGAGAGGGGAGCACTGTGGGGTGAGCTCTACTGAGGCCGCTGTGGGCTGTCCCGCTATATTTGTCTGCTTCTCAAAGAGCCCCTTTCCTTCCTGATTTTCTGTGCCTAGTTGGGGTGTCTATTGTTCTCCCCTCCACTTCTCCCCTCCCAGCTACTTGCTAATATTGAATGATATTGTTCTAGGCCCTGGTTTTTCCTTGCTTTGCCTTTGACTCCTCATACCCAGTTCCATGGCTGCCCCTGCTCACCCCTGGTCTCATTCAGCCTCATCCTAAATAAAGAATCCCACTGGTCTTTGAGGGGTGGGGACGTGGGGAGAGGGGCTTGTGACCCATCTCTACCAAGAATGAGGACTTTTTTAAAATAAAGTTAATATGTAATTGTTAACAACATGGCATAGAACTGATATGGTTGTTAAGGGAAGATTTTCATGGTATGTAATTATTATTGTTATTTTAAAGATTTATTTGTTTATGCATACAAGAGCTGGGGTGTAAACCAGAGGTGTGGGGGTCAGGGGATGAGAGGATTCACCAGAGACAGAGTGGGGAGCAGTACAGGCAGATCGATGATGTACACTGCTGAGGGGAGCAGTGGGCGAGACAGGAGATATCTGCTGTGCCATGTGGGTCAGCTCCCTGGCAGGGGATCAAACTCAGGCCATAGAGGTAATAGTGCTGAGACTTAACTTCTAGGTCCCCAGAAAAGCCCCATGGTATACATTAAAAAAAGAAGAAAATTACAGAAAAGTATGTATAGTATGTTCTTTAGATTATGTATACATGTGAATATTTGAACTATATGCCACATACTGTATATAGTATATGCAATTTATAGAATATACACTGTACATCACATAAATTGTTTTTCCACTACACTTATTTATCTCTGTAAAACATAGAAACATAAAGAAAGACCTGGAAAGGCACTGTCTTAATGGCAGGCCCTTCGGTTCAAGGGCCTATAAACTTTTAACAAAATCACTTAGACAGGAGCAAAGTGAGAAATTTAGGCCAGCATTATTTGAAGAATAACCAAGGCTTTTTAGTCCCTTCATTCACTTGTTCACTTATTCAGCAGCTTCTCATTGGGTATTTTTTGGGTCAGATACCACACTGGCAGATGCCTGGTTGGGAAGAGTGCATGCTTATGATTACATCTGTGAAGCAGGGATGAGGGGCAGCAAGAGAAGGGGGTGTCTCCTTCAACTGGGAACATTTAATCTGAGGCTGAACAGGGAAGAGAATCTGGTGTAGAGTTGCAGGAACAGGAAGCGGCAGAAGAGGGAATCCCAGGTTCAAGGGCAGGTGGGACTGGATGCCCCTGTGGGTGTGCCCACAGTGCAGAGTGGGAGAGGTAAGAGGGATCAAGAGTTGAGAGGGATCAGGCCACGTTCAGGACTGAGGGGCGGGGTTCAAAGTGGCTCAGCTGGGCTGGGAGCTCAGAGATCTTGCATCCATTTTCTCAGACAGCCAGGGGATGTGAAGAAACTGGGGGGCAGAGGATACAATGTTCCATATTAGAGACTTGGGGCCACACCTCTTGGCTGCCTGCTTCTGGGCCATGACTTTACCTCTCCAGGCCAGAGGTTCCCTGGGATGTGACTGTGAGCCTCAAGGGCCAGGACAGAGAGCATGACAACTTAGCCCTCTGTAGACATCTAGTCAGCGCTCTGCACTTTAGCCACTACCCCCCTTGGAGCAACCTGACTGACCTACTGACCTGCAAGGTGACCCTTTCTGGGCCTCAGTTTCCACATTGGTCTGCAAAGGGTTGGGCATGGGAGTCTTGTGGGCCTTTCACTCTGATGCTCAGGTGAGCGGCCTCCTGTGCAGTTTGGAGGTCTGAGCGTGCTCCAGGTGGTGCAAGGTGTGGGCCCACCAGGAGATGGGGCTATGCGCGGTGCTTTCTTACTTCATTTCTGTGTCCCCCCTGCCCACCCCTAAACCCCCCCCCCACCAGGGTACCCAAACTGGCAGAATGCTGGCCTGTTTTTCTGATAGTAACAGCCTTGTGGCATGTAAGGCTTTTCCTCTGTTCCTCACATTGTTTTGTGGAGAAATGCTTAAAAAGAAATCAAAGGGGCTCCTGAGGTCTTTGGAAAACTTCTGGGGGAACACAGGAACTGGCTCGGAGATCAGAGAGTTGGGGTCTGCGGTGCTGGCTGTGGGGGACTCTGGGCAGACAGTACCCTGAGGGACTCCTGAGGCCTGGCACTCACATCCGATCTCGCTGGAGCCCCTTCCTGACAGTCCCCGCCAGCAGAAGCAGCAAACTGGGGGCCAGGTGGGGGATGGGAGCCAGCTCTGGGTGGGAATTTGGGACACCTAATAGCCAGATGCAGCCCTGCCATCCCGAACCGTGCTGTGGGCTCATTGCTGGGGTGGTGTGAGCAATCTGAGGGACCCCAGTGGGCTGCAAGCCTTCTCTCCTGCTTTACAGATTTAGAGATGGAACATTACTCATCTCTTACCAGTAATTTGTCTTCTGCCTACAGTTCTGCTGGTCGTGCCTGCTTCTGCTGGGCTTCCTGGAATAAAGGGACATTTCCTCAAGGATCCTTCCAGTCCTGTCTTTCTGAAAGCTGGCCTCTGAGCTTCTCTAGCACCCGCTGTGCAGGCCAGTCATTAGGGGGCCTGCCTTGTCTCCCTTCTCCTCACTCCTTGATCCTCAGTGCAGCCAAATTCCCTGGCCTTCTTGGGGACTTTGTCTTATATCTTGTTTGCCCCTCTGGTCTGCAAAGCTGGAACCTCCTCATTCTCTGGGTCTTGGCTTAATTGCCACTTCCCTGGCTTGACCTTCCATGACCAGCTAGGTCAGGCGTCCTGGAGACTACTTTAATTATTGGGTGGAGTGAAATCCTCTTAGCTAGCATGGGCTTATTCATCTCTTCCTTGAGTTCAGTGAAATGGACTTCCCCCAAGACTGACTCTCTTCTTTCTGCACTTGACTCTTTAAGATTTAAATCGGATCTTGGAACTTGGTTTTCCAATAAATCCTTTGGAATCTACTGAATCTCTCTTGGGTGGAAAGGATTACAAACCAGTCTTCACCTGGCTGGCCATCTAGACAGTCAAGAGAAAGGACTGGAAGCTAAAGATCTGGGCCCTAGTTTGCCC